ATCGGGAGCAGTTGATCCAAGACTACCTGTGCTCAACGGCGTTCCTCAAAGAGGCTTCTGAGATGGGGATGGACTTCTATACCTACAACATGGAGGAAGTCGAGCGCCAGCTGAAGGAGATGGGGTTCACTGGTGAGCTTGACCAGGACAAAACATGGGAAGCAATTCCCTCTGCTCCTTCTAGCTTCACCGGTGACCCCACTCTGCCCGCCGATCATCCTTGGTGGGCCAGTTCTCTGGAGAAGACCTCAGCGGGTGATTCTTCTTTGAAGAGTTCGTTTGACTTGCCCAGGCCAGGCGAGGCACCCCTGGTCCGTCTTTCAGTTGGCTTCCTTCCTCCACAGCCTGTGACCACCCACGCTCCTTCGTCCATCTCCCATTCATCAGCCTCGGCTATCAATCATTCTACCGTCGCTTTCCTTTCTTCGATTGGCGCCTCGCACTCGACCACCGCTGCTTCTGCCTCCTCCGCGGCCGTCCAGTCGACCACGGCGGCTCAGTTGGGGTTTGCTGCTTTCGCCTCGTCAGTTGCGGACGCCTCCTCGACTGTTGCTGCTATGTCGTCGGCCACAACTGCCCAGTCGACTTCCGCGGCGCGGGCTTCTGCTACGGTGTCATCAACTGTGTCCTCTATCGCTGTTGCGCAGTCGACTGGCATTGCTCTATCTGCGACCGCTCCTCCAAAATAGTTTTAGGTGCTCGACGATGTATTTTCATATTTTTATTTTAATGCAATTTTTAATCTTGTACCCGCCATGGAATGAAAACCTTGGTTTCTTCTTATTTGTGTCATGTAATGCTTTTGTTTTCCATTCTTTGAGCTGCTCTGTATTACGATTTCTCGTAGACATGTTGACATATGCTCCTTATGCTTTCTCAATGGTCTCGTTTATATGCAATAAACCATAATCACCACTCGCTGCTCTTAAATCTGTATGAATCCTAGTTAATACCTCGTCACTCATCGTCGCCCAATTGTGTTGAGGTGTGCTCCTTATGAAGGACTTTAGTTTTGTTGCCCACACATTAGGGAAATTTAAACCTAAAACTGATAGAACTTGCCACTCAATTCGAACCTAAAACTGACCGTCCTTCGCCCACCTTTTGGTCGAGGTGTTCCATAAACGAAGGACTTTGGCCTTGTCACTTGCCCACCCTAGGGGATGTTCCGAGAACATGGTGGTCGTCCAGCCCGGAGGCGTGGACGTTGTTGACCACATGCCCACCCCTTAGAATGTACCGAAAACAAGCAACCTCCGCCCACCTCTTGGTCGAGGTGTTCCATAAACGAAGGACTTTGGTCTCGTCACTTGCCCACCCTAAGGGATGTTCCGAAAACATTGTGGTCGTCCAGCCC